CTAAAATCATGCTCATTTCAAAGTTTGTATATACTGTGACATGTTTCCATGCTTCAATGTTGTGTGGGAGAGAAACACAAACCTATATAACACACTACAGGAAAGTGAACACCACACAAAGCAGAATAGGCTTCTTTAAGGCATGTTAAATACGGGACTTTTACTCTTGTTGGAGTACTTTCAGACCAAAGTATTTCTACGTTTACTTAGTGTAAGTCAAGATTCAAAGGTTTTATTGTCAGATGCACATAAGCTACAGTGAGGAAATGGCCATGAAAATCTTCTGACCTGAGCTCCTGCAACAATACAGTTTTAGTTGTCTGCGATCTGCGGAGGCCTACTCCCACCTGTACGGCTGTGCTGAGGTGTTTTTCCCCCGGAGACGTCGCGAAGAGACGGAGCGGCTCTATCTGTTGCTGCCTGCGATCTGCGATCTACGGAGGCCTGCTCCCATCTGTAGAGTACGGCTGTACTGGAGAGGTTTTTTACCCCGGAGTCGTCGCGGAGAGACGGAGTGGATCCACGCTTCGGGCTTGGCCTGCTTCCACTGGGGCGTGTGCTGCTGTGCGGAGGAGGATTCACCACGGCTGGGGCCTGCTTTCCACCGGTCCTGGTTCTGCTGTTGCAGAGGCCTGCTTTCACCCCGGGGATACCACGGAGGGACCGGAGCGCTTCCACGCTGCTGTTTCGCCTGTCCTTTGCTGCTGTGCTGATTTTGCTCCAGGAACATCGCGGATACTGTGTGCTGGTCTGGGAAAATGGCCCATATCGGGATTCTGCTGTGCCTGTTAACTGTTTTGGACTATGAGAAGATCTCTAGTCATTTGAGGAGTCTACTGGATTCAGGTCTGTTCTGCCACCCGCAGTGGGCATCCCCTTCAAAGGTTCGGATTGTGTGCACAAACAATTACCGGTTGCCTTGTCACCGACAATCTGCTCGACAAAATATGTTTTTTTGTTTTCCTGCGGATTGATGGTTCTTCAGGACTGCTTCTTAAGCTCTAATCACACTCTCGCAGACTTTTCCGGTGATTCTAAAGTAGACGACCATGTATGTGTGTCGATTAAGAGGAAAAGATGCCTGGCTTTTTGTGTGTTATCACTGTCAGTGTTAGGGAAATTATTGACCTAGACTCCTAGATATAACGTACAGGACCAACCCTGACGTCTGTTTATCTCCTCTTAAGGACATAGGCTGCTTCAGCCATAATGTTATGTTCCATTCTGTGACCGGTCAACACTAGGTCACAGATGATCTTTGTTGTGGGGTGCACTGGGACATTTCCTTCTTGTTGTTTGTGGACTCCAAGGTATGACATCTGCGAGGCCATAAGTGACGGACGCAAGTGACCTCAGTGTGCCCAGTGTGTTAAACTATCTTATCACAATATGTTGATTTACTCTCTGTGAAACCCAGTTTAAATGGGCTAACGAGAGAGAGGCGCTCCAGAATTGACGTGGCAACCCACCCGTGCAGTCTCACATAGGCTGCTGTGACTTGTGATGTGAATCCTCCGGCCGTAACTCCAAATAAATCTCCAGTGTTTGACATCGAAGCTCCTGCTCTACCGGTCTCCTTCCTGAGTCGGTGACTCCCACTGCATAGCTACACAGAAGTTTCCCTTACAGTCAGGAAATGTACAGCCTAACCCTGGTCCGCCCAGTAGTAGTAGTCAGATCGCTACTCCTGCTAATTTTAAAGCTAGGTCTGGGTTGGGTTTCATCCACTTGAATGTGCGCAGTCTGTTAGGTAAACTAGATTTTGTCCGTATCTGGGCGAGCTCAACTGACGCTGACGTCATTGTTTTATCAGAAACATGGCTAAACAAATCTATTTTGGCCTCTGACATTGCCTTAAATGGTTTTAATGTGTATCGTACCGACCGGCCTAATAAAGGTGGTGGCGTTGCCATTTATGTTAAGAATAAGTTCAGTGTAACCGCTGTAGTTTCCAAATCTATCAGTAAGCAATTTGAATTTTAAGCCTTAAATATAGAAGTGGCAAAGGGTCAACAGGTCATGGTAGTGAGTTGTTACAGACCCCCCTCAGCTGTCAAGGACTCCTTGTCTTCGCTAGCAAATATTTTATCGTAACTAGACTACAAGGAAATAGTGCTACTTGGAGATTTTAACTGGGACTGGTTAACTGCAGTGTCAGAGGATTTTAAAAACCTTTGTATCTCTTTAAATGTTAATCAGATTGTGGACAGTCCTACTCGCCCAAATATGAAGTCCCCTAATAAATCCTCCCTAATTGATCTCATTCTAACTAATGCTCCCTATAAATACTCAGCTGTGGGAGTATTTGTGAATGATGTGAGCGATCACTGTGTTGTAGCCACAATTAGGGACACTAAGGTCCAAAAGGTTAAACCTCGTATTATCATCAAGAGAGACATAAAACATTTTGTGGAGCAGGGTTTTGTTCATGATCTGTTTGGGTTTGATTGGGGAAAAATCGATCTGTGTGCTGATGTGGAAACCGCATGGTCTTATTTTTATCTTGGTTTTATGGAGATCATTGATAGACATGCACCCCTGCGTACATTTAGAGTGAAGGGACGAGACAATCCTTGGTTTTCTGCTGAACTGTCCAGTCTCCTTCATGAGAGAAACAAGGCCTGGGCAAAGGCTAGGAAATCAGGCTCAGAGGTAGAATGGCTGCGTTTTAGGCAGCTAAGGAATAGCTTCACTTCACATGTCAAAAGTGCTAAGTTGAAGTACTATCTGTCAGTTACCACAGAAAATCTGAATAATCCAAGGACATTTTGGAAAGCCATTAAATCGATATCCACCGGTGAGATCCGTAATGAGCTACCTCCGTGCCTTACCACAGCATCTGGCACTATATCGGACAGGGCCACTATGTTAAATTGCTTTAATGAGCATTTTGTGTCCTGTGGCTCTATGTTTGATTCTGTGACTAACTCTGCTTCTGTGAACACCACAGTCGGTGACTCAGAACAGTGTGGTCTGGAAAACCCTTTCAGTTTTACTCCTTTTACTGTCAATGTTGTTCATGAAGCTTTAACCAAGTTAGATCCTAAGAAACCGGCGGCCCGGACAACGTAGAACCTTTCTTTTTAAAGATAGCTGCAGATTTTATTGCTCTTCCTCTCACTTCTCTTTTTAACCTCTCCTTCAGCACTAACACAATTCCAAAGTATGGAAGTCAGCGTATGTCCTGCCTTTACTAAAAGGAGGGGAGGCAACTATTTTAAATAACTATAGGCCAATCTCTAAATTGTCAGTTCTGGCGAAGGTGCTCGAACGCCTAGTGAGTGAACAGGTAAAGGTGTTTTATGTAACAATGACATCCTGTCTAAACATCAGTCAGGCTTCAGAAAGCAACACAGCACCATCACTGCCACAATGAAAGTGGTGAATGACATTACGAGTATTTTAGACAATAAGCAGAGAGTTGTGCAGCTCTATTTATTGACCTGTCCAAAGCATTTGACACCCGTTCGATCATCGCATCTTAAAGTAGAGGCTACTCAGTATTGGCATATCCAGCCACGCAGTGGGTGGGTTTGTGAACTACCTCTCTGAAAGGTCCCAATGTGTTCACTTTGATGAGCTGTCTTCTGAGTGGTTAAACATTGCTAATGGTGTTCCTCAAGGTTCTGTTTTAGGTCCACTTTTATTCTCTATATATATCAACAGTTTAGGTGAAAATGTGGATGAAGCTACTTTGCATTTGTATGCGGATGATACCGTGATGTACTGTGCAGGTCCCTCCATTCAGGAGGCTGCTGTTAAATTACAGGCTGTTTTTAACATTATTCAGGCTCAGCTCTCTGAGCTTAAGCTTCTTTTAAATGTTGAGAAAACCAAGGTAATGCTCTTTTCAAAAGCTACAAAGACACCAGAGCCTGTTTTAGATATTGTTACTATGCAAGGACAAGTACTCAAAGTGGTTACCAGTTATAAATACCTAGGTATCTGGCTTGATGATTGTCTTACTTTTAAACTTCATGTCAATAACCTGCTTAAAAAGCTGAGGGTTAGGCTAGGTAGGTTTCTTCTACAGAGAAACAAGTCCTGTTTCTCGCTTGAGGCCAGGAAAAGGCTCTGTGACCTTTTGACCTGTGCTGGACTATGGTGATTTGTTGTATATGAATGCACCTGCCCATTGCCTGGACAAGTTAGATGCCGCCTATCACAGCGCACTGAGATTTGTCACAAATTGTAAAGCACTTACTCATCACTGTACCCTGTATGCCGAGGCAGGTCTGCCATCACTTACTGTACGGAGGCTCAGTCATTGGTACACGTTTATTTATAAAGCTTTGTTGGGTAAACTCCCGTATTATATCTGCTCTCTGATAACACAGAGCAGCTATTGTCTGAGATGGCATGATGTAGTATTGTTAGATGTGCCAAGAGCAAGGAATGTCTTAGGGAAGACAGCTTTTATGTGCAGCTCCACTTGCTTGGAACAATCTTCAGCAAGAATTGAAACTGAGCGATCTCATTCCTCTGCATGTCTTTAAAGCTAGGCTAAATGAAATGCTCGTTGATACTATGGCCACTTGTAAATGTCTATAACTATGTAAATGTATCCTGTAAATATAATGTATGATGTCCTTTATTGTTTCATGTAGAACCTATATGCTGCAGGTCTCCCTTGAAAAAGAGATCTATGATCTCAAGGGACCAATCTGGATAAATAAAGGTTTGAAATGAAATGAAATGCAAGAAGTCTATATACACGTAAATAGAATATGATATACAAGAACAAAATGTCACATTAAATATTGTACAGTTACATGAAATTAAATACGGTTTATGACGCTGATAACTATTTAGATAAATAAGTAAATTGCAAGATGACTAACAGATGAATACTTATTGAGGTGCTCAACAGAGCCCAGGTGTTTAGCGGTCTTATTGTATTATTGCTTGTGTGTGTGTGTGGTGTGTGTGGTGTGTGGTGTGTGTGTGTGTGTGTGTTGTGTGTGTGTGTGTCTCAGGTGTAGTGACGGCAGGATACTTACAATAACATGTTCCTCGGAGGGGGTTTCCAAGGTAACGGTTCTCTGAGTCACATCTGAAACGACACCAGAGAAGAAGAAGAAGAGAGAGAACAGAAGGCATTAGCTTTAAACAAGGGTTTGGCTCTACAAAGACATTTTCTAGTGTTGTGGTGTGTGTGTGTGTGTGTGTGTGTGTGTGGGTGTGTGTGTGTGTGTGTGTGTGGTGTGTCAGGTATCGTCTTCCCCCAGCTCTTTGTGAGGTGATTTCCCTCGACAGCCCTGTCTAGTCAAAGCTGCTCTCTTTTTTCCCAGGGACACACACACTCACACATATAACTCTCACACACACTCACACACTCACACATACTCTCTCACACATACACACATACACACAGACTCTCACACACACACACACACACACACACACACACAACACACACACACACACACACACACAACACACAAACACACAACAACACACACACACACAACACACACACACACCACACAAGACTCTCTCACACACACACCACACACACACACAACACACACACACACACACACACACACACACACACCACACACACACACAAACACACACACACACACACACACACCACAACACACACAGACTCTCTCACACACACACACTAATGAGAGAGAACACCTAATCTCCTGAAGTAAAATCAGATTTCTGCAGGAACAGAGAGCTTAAATAACTGAAACATGCTGAATAACGCATATAAACTAATATCTCACTGTGAGCTTAAAAAGAGACACTGACAATATGTAGAGTGTTTGTTTTGTGTTCAGTTATTTATTCCTCTCTTAGAATTGACCATGCCTGTTAATGGAAAACAGAAATCGGACATGATGCTTGAAATACATTTGATAATGTCAAGAGAAAGATACCATGACATGAATGCTTTTAAATACATTTAAAACCATAATGCATACCAGTGCCTGTCAGTCACATGTCAAATAAGAATCTACTTTGCATTTCATTTTGACATTCGTGCCATTTATCTGTAGCTAACTGTGACCACATGGACGTACGACACACACATGTTGACGGACAGTAATTGGCTGCGGATGAAAGTTGTGACCTTTAGGTTAAAAGAAAGTCTCCAATGACCAGTAAGCTATACAGAAATACAATTAGATTACAAAAAAAAAAATATATTGATTTTTCCAGTAGAAATATAATTGATTTTTTCAAAAATGCATAATGGGATTTGCATGGGTTT